TATACACATTGCACAATACATAAATAATGATGCTTATAAAACGTCTTTATATTTACAAGTAATAATATATTTATATATAACATAAAATACATTTTTTCTTTAATAAATCTCAGGGTTTTTTTAAGGAGTCCGTTTTTGTGTGTGTTTTATTTCCAAAGCACTACAATGCTAAAGTTCCAATGAGAATGCTCTCTTGTTCATTTAAACCTTTATATTTAGAAAAATAGCTTATGTTAAGGTCTAAACATGCTCATTGAGCTAAGAACAGTGTAAAAGTATCATACTCCTGTATGAATTCAAGAAGAAATGAAAGCACAACTGCATTTCCAGATAGGATGGTACCGGGATAACCTGATCTAAGCAGGTTACAACAGACCAACTATCCCCTTTTGCATTCCCCATTTTTCATTTGTTTTGTTGGTTTTGTTTTGTTTTGTTTTGTTTTGTATAGGCTTAGGCTTCTGTCACTTCACATCTCAGCTGAATTTATAAAGCACAGGCCATGCACGAGGTTTCTCCACTGCTGTTTTCTCCCCTTGCATCAATCCATGACGATAACAAAAAAAGCAGTGGAAGGGTGAACACAGTGACAAGACGTGAACCCAGCAACAAGAAAAATAAAAATTAAAAGGGTGGGTAAAGACCTGGTTGGGAAGATTCTGCACCATCCTTCGGTGGCATCGTGGGGTTAGCACCACTGGGGAAGGGGTCTCGGTGTCACCGTCACCAGGGACGGATGGCGACAAGGGGAAGGTGGTGCGTAAAAAATACAGGTATCTTGTTGTTTTATCGAAGAGAAGGAACTGTAACATATACCAAGTGGCTTCTAAATCCACCGATCACATAGGATAACCTTTCAGAGGCGTGAAATAATTATCATATGCGATCCATCCCCCTGTGACCCTTCTCTTGCCCTTCTGAGTTATTGGTCATTCACACTTTCAAAAAATAGATATAATTATCAAAATACCCAAGGCAAACCCAAAAATCTTTCCAGAAGCTGCTTCTCAAAACGGGGTGGGGGGAAAACAAACAAAACAAAACAAACAAACAAAAACAAGAAGTTTGCATGAAAAGCAAGCACTCAGAAGGAAATAATAGCAGCAAAGTAGTATAAATGTCATGAGTCCACTCTGTCTCGAGTCATCGGTTATTAAAAATAACCTCCAACCAGCACGGGCAACTGCTGATAAACTGTCTCGTGTAGCACTGGCCCCAGCCTTTCACAAAGCTGATCTGAACAGTAAATCCGGTCCATGGTTGCTGCATGAACTCATGGTCGTTGGGTCTCTGCAAGCTGTACGCCTTCTCGTAGTCAAAAGCCTTGATGGAAAATCCTGGGAACACTTTGTGAACCAGCAACGTCCTGGAGTCAGGGTTGTCCAGTGTGGCCGACTTGATGAAGATGGGGTAACTGCTGCGGTTGTACACCCACACGCCGTCCACTTCCTTGGTGAGCTGGATGCCGTAGCCGATCTTGCTGCGGACCTTCTGCACCAGTTGGCTTTTGTTGTCCGAGTTGAGCTGTCCGAGACAGAAACCATTCCCCTGAGGTAGATCATAGAAGATATCCAGGGAGGGCTCTTGGACAGAGTACAGCCGACCCACACGTGTCTTCTCTTCCCAGTATGCCACCACACACCAGTGTGATCTATCCCCTGGCTCCTGAAGAATTTGTGAATCTATAGAACAGGAGAAAAAAAAGGAAGAAAAGGAGAAATTGAGCACCAGGGGGGTAGTATGACCTGAACACGACGCAATGCTGGCAGGTCCCTGCCTGCCCGTCTTCATGACGCTCTCCACACACACACCAACGCCCCCAGCACATCCACCGTTTCCAAAAGCCATGTGTTAAGGCCGCTGTCAAGACCCTTTAAGTTGACCCAGACCACTATGAGCTCATTTACCCAGGTTTGGCGGATTCCCATGCTGCTTCAGTGCCTAGCTCTGGTTGGAGTTACGGGTCATAACTCACCAGCTCCACCTTCAGAAATGGCTTGAGACCCACGACCAGCACCGGCAGCACAGCCATCCCTCACCCAAACCATCGCTAGGACCCCCTTCAGTGACAACAGGTGAGATGACATGCTCCAGCCAGCTGCATCCAGCACCACCAGACACCCTAAAACCCCTTATCTGCACCCACCACGCTATGGATTCATTTCCATAAATAACTACTGTGCACAGACACCAAAAAAAAGAAGTGCTGCTAAGAAAAGCACATTGAAGGTCACCCTATGGGAATGGAGGGACAAGGACTCGCCTGCTCACGGGGCTTTTCTCTGCCCGTAGGCAGAGCCTAGGTGATGGAGAGGATGGAGCTGTCCAATGAAGCTCCAACCCCCAGAAAGCACTGTCAGATGGCGGCACGGTGAAGACCAAAAATCTCACCCTTATTAACAAATATGGCCTCAAAAACCCAGAAAGTCATTCCCCTAGCTCTTCTTTCGACTCCCTTGCCCGTAACTACCCCATGTAAGCATTCAGGATACAACGCAGGAGAAAAAAATCATGTGAGGGGCTGAGAAACATGAAAAAGCCCCTTTTCCTGAGAAACATGAAAAACCCCCTTTTCCTGATGGAGGTTCCCTAGCAGCCTGGTGCTGCTCAGTGGGTAATTCCTTCCAGCCTCAGTATGCACGTTAAGACCTGGGAACTATTCATCTCTATAAATGTGTTTTAAAAAGTATATATAAAAAACAAAATATTAACCTGGGAATGCAAGTTAGTGCCTAAATAATCCCCTGCACCATGGGAGCAGCAGTGGGACCGGGAACAGTGGGATATCCCGAACCCCAAAGCTCTCCCTGCATCACCTCAGTAGCCCCCCCAGTCTCCCCCCAGCATCAGCAATGGCAGCAGCACACTGGCTGCCCTGTTTTCTCTGGTTTTTTGCTATTAATAAGCCTGCTTCCCCAGCGCAGGGGCTCTTCTCCCCTCTCTAAGTTGCGCTTCAGGCTCTGCACTGTGCTTTTAAAAAAAAAAAAACAAAACACAAAAAAACCCCAAAACAGGCCCAGCCACACACTTTTAATTTCCTCATTTCTATGCCAGCAAGGAAAATATTTCTCCAGTTGCAGGAGGCAGCGACTAAGAACGGGCCTGACTGCATACGCCCCAAACCAGGGACCCTCGCTCCCAGGTTAAACCGGGAATGGGGGTTACAGCGCTGGGGGTGGTCCCTGGGAGAGCATCCATTGAGGTGTGCCCCAGTTTGTCCCTCCACCTCCCCTTTTTGGTGCCTCCCAAGACTTTGTTGCGATGACTTTATATCCT